ACCTCATTCCATGTCTCAGCTACTGTACTAATAACCTTGGCGAGCCGCATTTGACCCGCGAGCTTTGAGTTTGACACATGCTCTGATACATGTTAATTTACATGCAACAAACATCGCCTTCAGGTCACTTAGGTGTGACAGGTCTCCAATCATTACAATATCTACATTTATTTATTTATTTTTTATTCCTCTTAATTTAAACCCTCTACAAACCAGCATCCTTTTTAGTGCTTGTCTGTCACGCTGGCTCCCAGGCAGTTTATTTGCTTATGTCTTTATTTGTGCGCATGATGTCATGAGTTAATGTTAATCTTGACTTCCTGCTGCAGACCCTCTCAGAGACATGGCTGACCTCCCGTGCTGTGGCAGAGCCACGGCGGCTGCTTAATTCCCTCGATGTTCAGATGCTTTTTATCACTTTCTACAGAACAGCATTTTGAATATGTTTTGCATGAGCTCGTCACTGTACCCTGACTTTGCAGCCCACCCCCCCTGTGAAAAACACAGTTGGCTTTGTCTGAACTTTAAGACCAGCACCTTCTCACAAAGCTCCCATTGCACGAGAAACTGACGGATTCAGAATGAATTCGCCACCTCATTTTGTGCTGGTCCCCGGTTTGACGACGCCAGCTGTGGTTGAAACATTTAAGACAGAAACTGACCTTTTAAAAATCTCTTTTGTCACCAGATTACTCTAAAGGATTTGGAGGAAAGTTTGGTGTGCAAAAGGACCGGATGGACAAGGTAAAGTGTGTTTGTGTTTGTAGTTACTTTTACTTTTCACACTTTCATGTCTCACATCTGTGTTTCTGGTGAAAAGAGCGCTGGGACATTTGAGGAAGTGGAAAAACCAACTTCCTCGTATCAGAAGACCAAACCTGTGGAGGCTGGTAGGTTTTTGTTTGTTCGTAGTCTCAGCATCAGCATCCACACCTATAGGATCACATGACCTGACATCATTGGCTGCCTGTCATCTCTGGTTCTCAGCTGGCAGCAGCACAGGAAGCATCAAAGCCCGCTTTGAAAACATTGCCAAACAGAAGGAGGAGGAGGACAAGAAGAGGGCTGAGGAGGAGCGTGCGCGTCGACAGACCAAAGAGAGGCAAGAGCAAGAGGAGGCACGCCGTATGATCGAGGAAACGCCCAAAGCCCCGTCTCCTGCCCCCGCTGCCAGTCCCAGTCCGACACCACCTGTACATGTGAGGCTTTCTCTCTGGTTAGGTGTCATTAGAAACTAAATCATGGTATCTCCACTGGAAAGTTTAAATGATTTTGTGGCTGGACGTCAGGCTTCGTGGTAGAACTAAAAGATACAGTGTTTGGGAATCAGGGCAAGTTTTAAATACTAATATTGTCTTTTTCTGCCAACTGTTTTATTTTTTGAGTGAACAGTGAAATGTTAGATTGTAAAAGAGCTCCACCTACTGTTCCCCAGACGGCAGGTTCATGTGAATGCACCTTGGTCACTGACTAACAATGACTTCCAGTGGATAACTGATATCTGTCTCTTATCAGGTCACAGAAGAACCAATCAATGAAGTTGGCACAGAGGATGTAGACCAGCTCTATGAGGCTGAGCCTCAGAGCCAGTACACGCCGCAGGAAGATCTCTACCTTACGCC